GACTTGGCTTATTTGCACCCAGTGTTTTCAAGAGACTGGTTCTTTTATGACGGAATGATCCCTGTGTGTGCGACTGTACCACACTTTGCCCACCCGTTCGTCCTTTGGACATTTGGGTTATTTCAGTGATTTGGCTGTAATAGAATGCTACAAACATCCATGTCTGAGTTGGTGTGTTTTCATTTCTCTTGCCTACATACCTATGAGTGAGACTCCTGAGCTCTGTAGGAGCTCTTTCCATCTTAGTGGGTTTGAAATAGCATTGTAGTTTTGATTGCGTTTCCATAATGATGAATAGTATTGAGCTTATTGGTTATTTGTATACCTAAGTTAGAAAAATGCTTGTTGAAATACTTTGCCCTTTTGTTTGTTTTGGTGTCACCAGGGTTTGAACCCAAGGCCTTTGCCCTGTTCCGAATAACTTCCAGCCTTTACCTGTTTGGAGACAGTAGTTTTGTAAATTGCTAAATTGCCCAAGGGGCTGGAATTTGCAATCCTCCTGCTTCATTTTCTAGAGTGCTGGGATTACAGGCATGCCCACACCCAGCTTGTTGGGTTTTGAGACAGGGTCTAGCTATGGTATTGTAGCCTCAGCTGGCCCTGAAGCCTGGATCCTTTTACCTCAGCATCCTGAGCGGTGGCATAACAGGCCCGTGCCACTGTGCCAGGCTTCTTTCGCCTGGTTTCAAATTGAGTTGTCATGTTATTGATGTTGTTGTTGAGTACTCAGGATTCCCCTTTTTTTTTTTTTTTTTGGTCTTGTCTGTACTGGGGACTGAATCTAGGGAATGCAGTACTAACTCCTCTCCAGTGCTTATTTCGAGACAAGGTCTTGATTTGTCCAGTCTGGCCTCAGGTTTACAATTCCTTCTGCCTCTGCTTCTGGGGTAGCTGGAATTACAGGTGTGTGCAACTGCACCTAGCCCTAGAACACATTCTGGATGTATGATTTGTAAACATCTCCCATTCTGTGAATTGTCTTTTCACTTTTTTGGTTTTTTTTTTGTTTTGTTTTTCTTCCGGTACCAGGAATTGAACTCGCGACCTTGCGCTTGCCAGGCAGGCGCTGTGCTGCTGAGCTAAATCCCCAGCCCTCACTTTTTTGACAGTGTTCTTAAAGCACAAACATTTTTAATTTTGATGAAGTCCAGTTTAACTATTTGTTGGGGGCTACTTGTGAGGTCATGTTTAAGAAGCCATCAACTAATCCAAGATCCATGATACACTTCTTTTCTTTTTTACTTTCTTTTTATTTTGAGAGGAGGTCTCACTATGTAGTTCAAGGCTGATGTTGAACTCATTATGTAGCCCAGGCTGGGCTCAAATTCATGGCAATGCCCTGCCTCAGCCTCCTGAATACTGGGATTACAGGCGTGCTGTACCACATCCTGTAGAGATACACCTGTTTTCTTATAAGAATCTAATAGTTTGAACTCTTACATTTAGGTCTTACTCCATTTTGAGTTCTTTTTTGCTTGTGATATGATTCTTTTGCATGTAGGCATGTCATGGAGCTGGCACCATTTGTTAAATATGGCTCTCTCTTCAGCTGTTCTTTTTTGTTTGTTTTTGTTTTGTTTTGTTTTGTTTTTTTCCAGTACCGGGAATCAAACTCATGACCTCATGCTTGCCAGGCAGGCACTGTGCCACTGAGCTAAATCCCCAGCCCCTCTTGAACTGTTCTTTTTCCATACTGTATTTTACCATCAAGTGTCTTGCATGTTTGCAGGTACTATTACTGTAAGATTGTGGAATACGTGATTTACAGTAAAAACCTTATTTCTCTTGGAGGCTTGTGTTTTGTTGAGACTGATCATGGCATATATACCTGAAACTGTTAAATGGTATGTAGTTAAGTTGGAGGAATTGTGGAGAGAACAGACGTTACCAGGAATTTAGAATCGGAAGTAAGTCCGTGGGCGGAGAGGTTCATGAGGGAGAAGAGGCCATGGAGGTTAGGTAAGGCTTAGTTCAGGCAGACCAGAGTGGGCCTAATACAGCTGCTGAAGGAAACTTGTTCCTGGATATGTGGAACAGCTCTTAGATTTAACGTACCAGGTCTTCCCTTAGCCTGAATTACATTATTAGAAATCAGAATCACCTGAAGTAAACTTTGTGCAGTTGTATTTACAGATGAGGGCTGTTTGTTTCGTAGCTCTTCCACACTGGATTGGGTTCCAGATGGACACCACCTTCCGTTTGTTTCTCTTTTTTCTGCTCCCAGTGGTTGTTGGCCCAGCCTTACTGTGTTCCCTCTGCATAGTCCCCACGAACTTCTAGGATTTCTTTTCTTTCTGATGAGATCTTGCTGTGTAACCCAGGTGGTTCTCAAACTCCTGGCCTCAAGCACTTCTGCGTCTGCCTCCTGAGTAGTTGGGAATCCTCCTGAGTAGTTGGGAATCCAGACAAGGGCCGACACACCCAACTTAAGATTTCTTATGTCGTTTACAATATCCACATTTCACTCCAGTCCAGTGACCAGGTTTCAGTTCATTTCTCACTTGGCTTAGCAGTGCATTTAACACATTTGGTTATTCCTACCACCCTGATGGGCTTTCTTTTGGTTTTTTGAGACAGAGTCTTACTGTGTAGCCCAGGTGTCCTCCTGCCCTAACCTCCTGAGTGCTGGGATTCCGGTTGTGCGGCACCCCCGCCCCCCAGTTTGTTAGTCTTTTCCGAGCCACTGCAGCCTGTCCTTTCGCTGCTTCTGCATCTGCGCCTAGTCCTTGGCCATTTCATGTAGTCTCGTGACCTCAGGAATCATCTATCTGTGAGTCCTTCAGATTTGTGTCTCTAGCACTGAGACAGTTGCCTTGCGTTCCAGAGTTGTATCTTCAGCTGACACCCACATTTCCCCTGCGGTGCCTACTTAAGATCTCTGACATCTCAAGTTTAACGAAATCCAAATGGAGCTTTTTAGCTTTTCCAACTCCTCAGACCTGCTCATTCTTTTTTCATCTTAATGGAAGACAATTTTGAAATCTTTGTAGTTGGGTCAGGCTACAAACTGTTGGAGACACACAGGAAACCTCTTCCCTCAGATGCGGGCAGGAAGTCCTAAGCCCGGGCGCTGGGGATTGCTACCTAACCTCCTGCTCCTACACCAGAGGACGTGCTGTGTTGAAACGTTAGGTGACTGTGTGCTACTGTGCTTAGAACCTTGCAGCGGGTCTCCCTTTCACTCAGCATAAAAGCCAGTCTTTCCAGTGCCAAGAAGACCCTATAGAACCAGGCCCCCTGTGTCTCTTGGACCTGCTGTCCTGTCTTCCTTGGCCAGAAAGCAACTTTGTGCACTTAGGCTGGCACTTTACTGTTTTCATAGTCTAGGTGTGTGTGTAGCAGTAGGGTTTGTGTCCCCTCCGCCTGGAATGTTTCCCCTTAAGGTAGCCCCATGGCTAATTCCTTTACTGCCTTCTCAAGTGTCATTTACTCCGGGAGGTCTGCTGTGTCTATTCCACCCCAATTTTTGGTAATTGTTAAACCCACGGCCCCAACCTCTTTCACTTTCCCCCCCCAGGAGCATGCATCATCTTTTGTCATGCTGTTTTGTCATGTGATAGCTGTCAGGAGAAGTAAGAGATTTTTAGTAATTGTGTCACTGCAAAGATCCCAGAAGGCAGGAATTTGTGGTTATTCTGTTTCACTGCTATCCCTGTTACCTAGTACATATTTGTTAAATGTATACTCTGGGTCCCCACCAGTTGAATCAGAAACTTCAAGAGTGGGAGTCCAACTACCAGCTACTTTAACTAGGCCTGCTGGTGAGTCAGATGTAAATTCAGGTTTGAGAACCATTGCTTGAATATTGAGTAGAATTTCAGAGAGCGGCCTGTTGCTTCCTGTTGGGGATATGGAGGTGGATTTGTTTTCTCTTCCTGTTCTCGCCCTTTTTTTCCCCTGCTGAATGAGCGGTTTAGAAGGAGATAGCACCGGGAAAGAGGCTATAAACTGCAGTAACCTTTGGTGGATTTATTGTGAGTCAAGGGTCCCAAGATCACCCTTAGGTCCTAGCAGGTTACCAAGAGGATCTTGACAGCTCAACATATTATCAGCAGATTTATTACAGCAAAAGGATACAAAGAGAACAGGGTTACAGGGTAAAGTCTAGAGGAAACCAGGAGAAAGGTTCCGAGGGTTCTCTTCCAGTGCACCACACGGGACCTGTTTAATTCCTCCAGCAACAAGTTGTGACAAGTAGCAGCTCATTGCTCAAGGTTTTTATTGAGGGCTGGTCTTGCAGGCACCCTCTGCCCAAACCAGAGTTTCAGATCCCTGAAAGGAAAGCAAGTGTTTGCCCTGAGCCACATTGTACAACAGTTTCGGTACAGTGAGCCAGGGTAGGTAACTGGGATTGAACACAGGGTCATTGAGAACAGGGTCTTTGGACCTGAATTTGTGATCCTCCTGCTTCAGCCTCGCAGAGTGCTGGGAGTGTAGGCATGTGCTACCATACCTGCCTACAGTGAGCCATTCTGCTTAGAGGGAGTGGTGGGAACCTCTTGAACTCCGAGTTCAGAGGGCAGCCAGTGGCTACCTTGGTGTGCAGGATTTTCTAAGGATTACAGTGTCAGGCCTGCTGTGCTAATTTTTGTCTGTATATCACAGTATCCAAAGAAGTCTATTTGGTGTTTCTTGTTAGTAACTTATTTAGAATGTAAAGAATATAGACTACATCTTCTCTTTCAGAAATTTGGTAACAACCAAAATGTTCTGAGACTGAGTTGACTTGTAAGTTTCTGGAAAATAATTCATAGTAGCCACAATTTGTGCTTTTCAGTTATAAAGTAGTTTATTTCACGCCGAAGTTTTCTTATTTCCAAATATAAATTAACATCCTTTTTTTAGGATCCACTTGAAAAAATAAAGTACATGAATGTGACCATCTGCTGGGTGTTCTCCCCCGCCCCTTCACTTTCTTCCGTCTTTGACGTTCCAGAGGGTCTGTTTGAAACTTGTCATCTTTCGGAAGTAACCATCCTTCCTTTCTTTCTTTTTAATAGGACAAGATGCTGAATTATCAGGGACGCTTTCGCTTGTTTTGACACAGTGCTGTAAAAGAATAAAGGATACGGTGCAGAAGTTGGCGTCAGACCACAAGGACATCCACAGCAGTGTCTCTCGGGTTGGGAAAGCCATTGACAAGGTACAGTACTGAAGGAGGCGCTTGGTGTTTCTAGCGTCCTCCTCTTCCTGGCAGTGCTTTGATGACATTAGCTGTTCCGGATTGTTTTCTGCTAGTCCTTTCTTTTCTTTTGATAACTTTTACAGCTCTAGTTTTCCTGTTGTTATTAAAGTTCTCTGTTGCTACTATTTAAACAACAAAACAGAACAAAAATCTTGTATAGCTTTGTTCCTTATCCCTTTGCTTCTGACTAGAGCCCCAGTGAGTATAGTTGCAGAGAAATTTTAACCCAGTATGTGGGAGTTTGTTTACCCGAGTAACTTTCCTTACTTCCTGAGTAGCTCCCTGGCTGCGGCCCTCTCTGCTAAGGGAGGATTGGACTCTCATACATTTGGGTCTCTCTTACTTCACCCTGAGCCTTGTCTTCTGTCAGCACGCTAGTTACTTTTCTTCAGCTTTGCCTTCTGTGTGAGGGAGTGAGTGAATTTAGTTGAATTATTTTGTGTGTGTGTCTGAGAGAGAGAGAGAGAGAGAGAGAGACATTTCTTGAGTAAGCAGTTTCTGACATAGTGGTTGGCTTGTAAGCAGTTGTCACTTTTACCACTGGGCCGCTTTGCCCGGGAAGGTCGTTGTCCTCATGGGACCTCAGCGGATTAGCCCGGGGTTGCTGTCTGACTCCTTGAACCTCTGGGGTGATTGTGACTGGTTGTGGGCAGTTCTGGTCACACACAGTAAACTTCTGGGAGAGCATGCCAGATACCTGAGGAGAGCACCTGTAGCAGAGGCATTTCCAAATGCGCCGTCTTACGAAGTGCCTCATCTGTATGCATGGCAGTGATGGCTGTAACAGATAACAGAAGCTCCTTGAATCCTAAGAGTGAGTCTAATGCATGGGTCACCCGGCTGTTAGAAGTTATCTTAGAGACTAGTACTGTCGTATTAGAGGGCTGGGCTGGAGGCTAAGTCTGAGCTGCTTCTAAGGGGGTCCCGTTCACTGGTAGGTGTGTTAGGACAGGATTGTAGGGGTAAGGGCTCTGGGAACTTGTTTGGCCATTTACAGAAGTGTTAGTGGCATTTCAGTGAGCCATTACTACTTCCATAGTGGTGTGAAGGCTTTGGAACAGCAAAAGCAGTCAGAGAGTGGTGGTGACTGTGGCAGGGCTCTAGTCGCATTATTGGACCCACGGTGGCCGTCACCAGCAAAACCGGGAAGGCCGTGCGTATTCTTAGAAACACCTTTGAGGTTGTGAAGCCTGTTGGCTAATGCAGTGAACGCGGCTTTAGAAGTAAGTGAGGGATGAGACCTATTCTGCGGCATTGGAAGCCTTCAGTTAGTAGTACCTGAAGAGGCTTTGATGTGTATTAGCCTCAGGACCATGGGACTAGTGGTGGGGCCCTTTATAGAGGGTCTCAAATCACTGTGGGCAAGGGACCTTCAGTTCTCTGGGTCGTAACTACTGTGGTATTGAAGAAGCTTTAGATTTTGGTGGTGGAGTGTGATCAAGGCGTCTGCTGATTCTGACAGCTCACAGTAGGTTCCTGGGGATGTCTGCTCAACTACCAGACTGCCTGCTTGTAATTATGCAGAGGGTCCTCTTCTGGACAGAGAAACCAGAGGGTGCTATGGCGGAGAGATGGCAGGGCTCCCCGAGTAGCCAATCAGAGAATATAACCAGGGAAAGAGCCTTGATTCTTGGAGTAAGTGGGGGGTCCTCTCAGTAACCATATTCAGGTGTGGGCTGCGGGCCACCTGGATCAGAAAGAGCCGGGTGAGTGATTGACCAGCTGTCCATTCTGCCACTGGTAGAGTGCGCGTGTTCTCCCCTACTTCCTGGTTGAAGTCTGTTGTATAAATATTGTCAAAAGCCTCCTTTCCTCCTGTCCTCCTTGGTGGTGACTTGCTGAGCACGTTGTCTTCAGACCCAGCAGGTCTTCACAGATATTCCTGTGGGTCATCAGATACCTTGACGAATCTTTGGGGCAAAGCATTTAGAAGTACTTGGCACCAGAAATGGAACTCTCTTTGGATGTCAAGAGAATACATTTATAGTGAGTAATCTATATTCAGACTTTCTGAGGGCATGGGCTATTTGAGGTAAATATTCCCAATTATATTTTAAAATTTATTCATACTCTTAAGGTTCCAGGTCACCTGGATTCTTCTCATCCATCATATGAAACTATGTTTCTTAGCTGATGCTGAGAAGTATGTGTTGGATGATAATCCGGAGCCACAGAGGAAAGCCTGGGTCTTTGAGCCCTGTTTGCTGACATCTTTCAGTACACTTTCTGTCCCTGCTTGGGGCATCTGCTTGCTTCAGCTAAAGAGGAAGTGATTCCCTAGAAGCTGTCTAGACAGTGTGAGCAGGCTTCTTGTGTACATGAGGGATTCTCTGTAGCGCTTGGCACATTAGACTCCACTGATTGAAGTTCTCTATTTTTTTTTTGTTAGCATAAACACATTCATTTATTTACTAACCAAAGAGACGATCCTGGTGACATCAACACTTTGAAATAGTTGCATGTAAAATGCTTGTGATAAAGGTAATTGACCAAAGTAGTGCCAAAAGAAAAAAAAAAAAGAATGGAGATTTGCTCATTGAACTGAGCTTATTCATTGTGGATGCTAATTCCTGTCCAAGTGATGATGGAATATTTATTCTACTTTTTCATAGACCCGAGTGCAGGTGACATTGTTCATGACACAATCCATAGCTAACTTCCCGTCTAGCAATTTGCTGGTTATTGTGCTTTCCTTCCCATCTCACTCCTGGGGCTGACCAATGCGCCATCTGTAAAGGCGCAGACTGTCTGAGTTTTTCGGCCATCAGCTGTAATCTCTTCAAACTTCTCTCCTGGTTACAAGAAAACGCTTGTTTTCAGAGCGCTCTCGGTTTGCACGGTGAGGTGGTTGCCCTCGCAAGTGATGATACAATCTGACTTAGCCATTGCACCCATTTTTGCATAGCTACCCCCACTCCTAACTCCTTCATGCAGTCATCAAAGCCTTTGCTGTCCAGCAGACGCCATCTTCCTACCAGCTGCTGAATGGTGGCCGTAGCGAGTGCAGGCTCAGGTACAGGGGACAGGGCTGTTGGTCACGGGCAGCGAGCTGTTAAGTCCTTAAGTTACGAGGAGCCCTTAAGACCTCGTAACTCGAATCTGGTAAGTTGTGCAAGCTCCAGGCAGCTTGTTGTAAAGCTGGGTGGACTCATGAATTGGTGTTGAGCAAACAGCGGAAGGCTGAAGCCACTGTGGCCCAAGGTCTGTAGATCCCACAGTAGAGACCTGTATAACAGACTGGAATGCTGTCCAGCAGCTTACAAGTGCCATTCGATGGACACGTATTCTGTCCTCACAGGAAGACAGTCAGAGAAGCCAATGGATATTTTTATCAGTGGTGTTTTTTTTTGTTATTTTTTTTTGACAATAACTGGTCTAAAGTGAAAATTAAGCTGTTAAACCCTGCTTGTGACCAGGAAGCTATGAGTATTTAATTTCTGCAGATTTAAAGAGTAGGGACTTGGAACAGCATATGAAGAAAAAATGTGGCCCTTCCAGAGAGCAAAGGAAGCTTAAGAAAGGACCATTTGATAGCTGGGTGTGGTGGCACAGGTCTGTAATCACAGCACTGTAGTCTTGAGACAGGAGGATCACTGTGAGTGCGAGACCAGCCTGGACTATGCAGTGAGACCTCTTGTCACTTCCTGCCCCACAGCAAAGGGGTCATTTGAGGAGTCATATGTGTGCATTAGTTGTATACAAGTGTGTAGATATGACATAGGAGATTGCAGTTTGTGAGTAGCCTTCATGTTTACCAACACCTCCTTTCTCAGAAAACTCTTAAAGGACTATTTTTATCTTTATAGATAAGAACATTGAAATTTAGGGAGCTGAAGTTCACAGACACAGTAAGTGATTCAGCTGAGGTTAAAATCTTTAACTCTGAAATGCTGTTATTTGTAGGGTCCATTTCAGTGTGCCTAGGACGCTGTGATGAGCAGGTTGATTTTTTTTTTTTGGTACCGAGAATCGAACTCAGGACCTCATGCTTGCCAGGCAGGCACAGTTCTGCTGAGCTATATTCTCAGCAGAGTAGGTTGATTTTTGAGTAAGAAACATCAGTATACTTTTGACATGCTGAATTGTTTTTTTGTTAATATTTTGAGACTTGTGTATTAATATTCTCTGGTTATTTTCTGAAAATGTAGGCAGAAAACTTGGTGGTATTAGCTAAGACATTTTATATTTCAACTGTTTTTTTTTTTTTTTTTTCGAGACAGGATCTTGCTATGCAGTTCAGGCTGGCCATGAACTCACTATGTAGCCCAAGTTGGCCTTAAACTCAGGCAGTCCTTCTGCCTCAACCTCCCAAGTACTGCTGGGATTACAGGTGTGTGCCACTATGCCTGCTTGGCTTTTAAGTTATTATGAATATAAAAAGTTGTAGAAGGTTTCTGCTTCAGCGCATTTACGATAGGGCTGTAATTTGTATGTCTTGCTGCAGGGAGACTTGAACCACGGGTGGTACATTCATGACTGTCCCATTGGGTGGCTTGTGCCACTGGTGATAGAAGTGGTACAGTCATAAATGGGACAGTTATGCATGTACCACCAGTGGTTCAAGCTGGTGGTAACATGTTAATGTGTTAAGTATTTTGACATGCCCATAGTATGATCTCTGTTTTAATTAAAGAATTCAGCCCTTAAGATTCTTTGACAAGTAACTGGGCGTGGTGGTGATGCCTGTAATCCCAGCACTTGGGAGGAGCAGGCAGGAGGATCACCTTTAAGATTGTGGACTAATTTGCTCATGTAAAAGTGCTTCATGTTCAAACAGAGTAACTGGAAAGATCCCGAGATGACTTGCAAGTTTGTATGGGATTGTAAAGGAAAGAGAAGTGTGCTCTTACTTAGCAAAGGTTTGTAAAGTTTTATGTCTTGAATATGTCTGGAGGAGTGGGTACGATTTAGGGCAGAGCACAACATGGGGCTCTGTGGGGCAAGGGAAGGGGCGGGAA